AAAATCTAGGGCCTACAAGACCCTACACAGCCAACAGCTTTCTGAGGCCTGTGAGGACATGGCTGCCCTGGAGAAGGATTATGAGGAGGTTGGTATGGATTCTGTTGAGGGAGAGGAATACTAATTACCATTCCTTTCAGCCCTGCAGCATGTCATCCTCAGAATTTCAGCTTTAACATTAGTTGACAGGAGTAAAACTTTCTTATTAGATTGTCTTCACTTTCAACTGTGATCACGTATTACTGTCTTCCTTTCTGACTTCCTGTCTCCTACTGTTTCACTTCCTCTGCCCCAGCCACGCTGTCCTCCTTGCTTTCCAAGCATGGTCCTGCCTTGGGTCCATACACTCGCTGTCCCCTCTACCTGAGATTCCTGAATGGATGCTCCCTGAAATGCTCTCCTCAATTGTCACTTCATAAGAGAGGCCTCTGACCACCTTATACAAAAGAGCACCCTTTCCAACACTCTGTATTCCCTTTACTATGCTAATTTTTTCACCAGAGAACATATACTTACTAGCTATTTGGCTTTTTGTTTGTTTGCTTGTTTATTATCTTCTTCCCAACTAGAATGAGATCCAGTTGGGTTGGTAATTTTGCTGTTACTATTTCCTGCTACCTCCCAGCACCTAGAATTGTGCCTGGCACAGAGCAGGGATTCTCTAATTATTTGTTTAAGTAGTTAGCTAACTGCATGACAAATATTGGAGAATATTCCTATTTTTCCTAGATCCAATAGCTTCTTTCATCTGATTATCAGGAGAGGATGAATGGTGTTTCTTTAAGGAAACACAAACATAATATGTGAACTTAGTTCATGCATGGGTTCCTTGCAGTCCAGGAATAGCTTACTCGACGTTCTTATTCAAATGTTTATAAAATAATATACAATAACAATATTTTAAAACAATACAAATTCTTACTGTGTAGGACAGTGTTACTCAAAGCATGGCTCCTGGAACCATACTTTCAGCAAGACCTGGGAACTTGTTAGAAATGCAGATTCTCAGTCACCACTCCAGGAAGACTGAGCTGGACCCAGCCCTCAGGTGACACCAATGAGTACTGAACCTTGAGAACCACTGCTTTAAGGAATTCTTAAATGACTCATTTCAGTTCTTTGACTTCCTCTTAAAAGTCATAATCTAACATGTCCTAGCTTCTAAATACAAATAGTATAAACTGACTATTAATGTAGATCATGACAATGCCTCTTACATTGACCAATTATCTTTTGCACCTATAAATACCTGAAAGACATGCTCTCAAGTTGCAGTTCTTATTTGTTGCATCTACTTTTGTGGCTACAGCCCACCTCTCCACCTTTTAGAGCCCTCTCACGTTTGGCGAGCACCTAAATTCTTCCTTGTCTAATTCAAACACCCTGGAAACATGCAGAAAATTGGGTTTATTTCTCTTAAATTTCTCTCTTAAAGGCAGAAGTTTTCAAACATTTTTCAACCAGGGACCTTTTTTCTTTTTCTTTTCCCCAGATGAAATGCACTGTAGATGCTTTGTATATAAAACTGGTAATTATGAGCCTGCTCTTGCTACTATGGATTGACTTGGTTTGTCCACCTGTCTTTCCCAACCTTCCTACCACCTGGTTGAAGACTCTAGGCAGGTCTCACAGTTGAAAGGTGGGAAAATATTTGCTATAGGGCAGCATTTCTTGGAGTGTGCTCAGCACCATGATTTCTGAATCTCTGTCCTCAGCTAACGGAATCAGACTTTCTGGCCCTGGAATAAGCACTGAACAAACATTCCCACTAGAGTTTGTGAGTCACTGCCCTAAGAACTCTAAACTGTCATTTTTATTAAAAAAAAAAATTGTATAAACACGTCGTTTGCCCACAGTCATTTCAAATAACCCCATTCAAGGTATTCCATTCATTCAAGCAGTAAAATGAACAAGGTATTTTAAGAGGTGAAGTTTCATTTTTCTCTGTATAACGCTGAACAAGTCATTAGTTCTAAAAGTTAAATACACAGAAAATTCTGATGAATGGCTTATTACATTTACAGTTTTACATACTTTAGGAAACACTGATCACCATTTTTTCTTAGAGATTTTGTGGGAAACTACAGTAAATTGAACAAATATCCTGTCCTCAAAGAGATAAAGTATATACAGAAGGAACTCGAGTACAAAATAGAAAATAATAAGAGGTATGAAAGTTCTGAAAAGGAGATGATTCTTTCCACTTCAGAAGATTAAGGGATGACTCCTTGCAGTTCAGAGTTTCAGTTCAATGCAGAATAAAGTCCTAAAGTTGACCTGAATTAACCCATATTTTTTTGCCTGATTCTTTCCAGGTGCAACATAACTTACACCACCCTTTCAGCATAGGAAAGGTAATAGGAGAGCTCACTCCTGATCTGGGGTGATGGAAGGAGAAGCACAATAGGATGCTGGCCACCTGGCATGCCAGCAAGTGTTGCCAAGCCCAGTCCCCAGCCAGCAAAATACATGCAGCTAACAGGCCACCACTGGTCAGTGGGTAAATGAGAAACAGGGTGATTAGAGGTCAGACTACATGAGGTCTGTATGGAAAGTTAAGGTTAAACAGTCCAATAACAAAGCATACAGTAGCCTGCAAGCTCTTGCTACAGTGCTACTGTACTATGTAAATTTATGAGAGTTTCTTTAATCCATGGTTTGGGTTGAAACAATTATATATTTCACTTACAATCTAAGTAGAATATTAGACTTTTAGCAGAATTTTCTGAGAGTGTACCGGTATCTCAATCACTGTAGAAAGAGAACATTTTCTTCAGTAGAAGTATTATGATCTAGCAAGAGAAACAATGGAAGGTGCCAATAATTCCAAATTTATAATCATAAAATAAAACTCTCAAGAAGACTCACGGCAATTTTATAATAAAATACAATAATAAGATTCTACTTTTTAAATCTTCAGATAAATACCAGTGACAAGATAGTAGAATCACAAACATTAGGAAACATTAAAATATGTGAATACCTATAAATGATAATTATTCTGCTTATTTTATTATTAATGTTCAGATAATGCACATAAGGATTTAATTTTGCTCTAAAGCAACAGCCCCCAACCTTTTTGGCACCAGGGACCGGTTTCATGGAAGACAAGTTTTCCACGGACAGGGAGTGGGGGTTGGTTCAGGCAGTAATGCAAGCGACGGGGAGCGACGGGGAGCGATGGGGAGCAGCAGATGAAGCTTCACTCGCTTGCCCACCGCTCACCTCCTGCTGTGCGGCCCGGGTTCCTAACAGGCCATGACCGGTACCGGTCCACGGCCCACGGGCTGGGGACTCCTGCTCTAAAGATTTCCTATCAGATATAAGTTAGGCCATCTAATTCCAAACTCCTAGTCTCTAAAACCACTTTTTTACATTTTAACCTGTGTCACATTATGGGCGATTTCCTCATATATATCTTCCAATTCATTAATTGTCTCTTTGGCATTGACAAATTGCTCTTTTAACCAACCTGTTGAGGATTTTTTTTCATTCTAATAGTTAGGTTTATGCTGTGTTCAATAGCTATCTTTTTCTATTACGTCTGTTTTCTGTTTTGATTTCAATTTTTTATTTCATGTCCTAATCAACATAAAACATTTTTGCTTTGTATTCTGTTTCAAATTTTATTTTCCTTTTATTTTCTCATGTTTTGGGGGAAACCAATCTTCTAGTTCATGGTGTGTGCTCTCCTCAACTCAAGGCAGAACAGCCCTTTGTTTGACTTACAATGGGTGTCGTGAGGGCCCCTTCAGCAGGGCTTGTTCACCTCTGGAGGCCATGACCCCCAAGGGCTCTCTGGAATACTTTTACGTACATTCTGCTTGAGACATCAGATGTGCCAAAGCCTGGGTCTGATATTTATATTAATTCCTCCTTGTGGACAACATAGGTATTGAGAGGTTTAGGTTTATCTCATTTTCCCCATTTCTCAGTTATTTTTTCAGTCTCCTAGGTGCCCAGTCCATGTAAAGGACATGAAGCCTTCATTCCTTCCACAACCACCTGAGGGCCACCAGAGCACCATGCACTTAAATTCTTGGTTTATTCATTCCTTTATTTAAAGACAGTGGTGTTGTTTCTACTTCTTCACTTACCCCTGGAAAATTTCATTTTTCTTTTTTTTTTTCAATTTCATCTATGATTTTAAAAATATTAATTAAATTTTATTTAGTAACTTTAGCAAGAGGCCTCCATCTTGCTGGTTCCAGAATTCTCTGACACTGTGAAAGCCATACCAGCCCAGGGCTGCTTACGTCTTCACCTATTGCACGTGGGAGAGAAATAAACTTCTACCTTGCCGAGTCATTGTTATTATTCTGTGTTTTCTGTCACACATAGTCAAAAATAATCCTGTTGTACCTTTGACTATTTAGACTGGAGAATAAAAGACTAAAGGAAACATACTAATATTGTCAGAATAACAAAGGGATTGTCATTCATGCCAAAACAAACTTTTGAAATGGGCTGTAGCATAAAGAAGGAAGAATTCTTTCACACAAAGGGTATTATTGACATTGTCATTTGTTCTTAGAAGCTGCGAATGACTAAAATTACCTCTGAAGTTCTGTTTCTCCTTTTTAAAAATTTCTCTATATCATCAGAAACATAATCAACCAAAATGTATTTTAAGAAAATAAGAAATAGTAGAAAACAAAGGCAAAAGTTGAGAGGGACATATAGGTACCTTAATCATATATTTTGAGCCTAGCACAATGTATCACATGTCCCCACCACCCCTAGTTCCTCCAAAAGTAAACCCAATATACTATCATTATGGTCCTGACACCTTCCCCATCCCTTATGTTCATTCTTAATATGATAGCTCTGTTTCGTTGTACTTATTAAATGTGTCACCTCAACTTTTACATCCACGTACTCTCCTTCTAGTCATGTCTCCTTCTGGTGATTTAGAACTTGTCATGAACTAAATACACACATAGTGAGGCCATTCTTCGTGGAGATTTTACCACACAAAATGCTTTACTAGCCACAGCCAGTCAATTACCTGGCCTTCCAGCTGGTGGGCCACCATTCTCGTTGTCATCCTTCAGAATAATAGCCAGACCCACTGAGTCGGCTGGGAGGACAGAGCTGCTGAGGTCCACACGAGTTAGGCTCTCAGGCTCCCTCTCAGAGCCCCCCACAGTGTTCTGTGGGCTGTCCCCTCCAGCTGTGTTCCTTTCTGGGACTTTTCTCTGGGGTCTCAGCACAATGTGAACGATGCTCTGCTGATCCAGGTCACAGCTCTGTGGGAGAGTGAAACAAAAACACAACAAGAAAGGGCAGACATTAAAACACCAGGAGGAGCTGAATTTGTCATCAGTTCTACAGTGTGTAAAAGACATTGGTTTATGTCCAATGTCTGCATGCAGTCATGGAACTTAAAGAAAAGTGACACGTGTGATTGATTGATCAGGATAGGCACACTCACCCTGCAGCAGGGGCCAACACCTACACATGTATGTGTTAATGTTGAACTGGGGCCAGAAACTGAAATGTGGGGATAAATGGAACACGACAACAGACGAAAACTGAAGTAATATTCAAAGGAACATGAAATCTAACGGGAAAGAAACATGTATCACACTGCATACATAACCATACTGAAAAGCAGTATGCTTTTAAAACTGACTTCCTGGAAATATGTCCTTATAATTTTCAAATTTAAATACTAGCACTCATTTCTGTTTTAAAAAGCACAGAGTTGGTTATTACCAACTACAGGGCAATTTTCTCTAGAATTTACAATACACTTGTTTACAGTAGGCTCCAGGTATACTCTGACATCACTAGCAATCACACCACCAGGCCAGTGAAGCAAGAGGACAGGGTACCAGTGCCATCTCGGCTCATTCACTGTTTCATCCAATCTCACAATTAAAATTAGTGGACGTCTACAAAAATATTTTGTATCTATATATTAATGTGTACAAGCAGGAGACTTTAAAATTTAGTAGAATTAGTAGAAACTAACACAATATTGTAAAGCAACTATACGCCAATAAAAATTAAAATAAAATAAAATAAAAGCATAAAAAAAAAGAAAAGAAAGTTAGACATCAGATAATTTACTTGGACAGAAACTATACTAACTTAAGTTAAATCTTTGTTTCAGAATATCTACTGGGTAGACACAGTCGTTCATCTGTCTGTCCCTCCTCCCACAGAGCGAGGACCCTCCTCTCTCTACAACACCCCCCATTGCCATTCTCCCTCATCTTAGGAAGTTTAAATAACACCCACGCAAAACACAACAACACTGGTAACAATCATAACCCCCCAAGTGCCGTGCTATCTCTATCAAACTTGTAAGAATGGTGCCTGGCACTCATCAGCACTCCCTGCCCACACACCACTGCTTGGTGTCAGCCTCGCCCACTCAGGAAGGCTACCAGCATGCCCTCCAGTCCCAAATCCCACTTTGATCTCTTCTGGTCCCGTGTCTCAGGTCTCGGTCACATCAACACACTTCCTCTTCCTGCTGCCTGTCCCCACAGCTTCCCAGCTCTCCCCAGGACTGCTCCTACTCAGCAGTGGTCACTCTGTGTCAATCTCTGTCCCCTCAGTCCGCCCCTACCTGACTTCCTATTTCTGTCGAGGCACCACCATCCCCCATGTTATCCAAGTGTCAAGGCTTCCTCTCCCACCTAAAACTCCAATCATTCTCCTATGTTTTCTAAGGAGGGCTTCACCGCCTTGGAACCTTCCTCCCTACTGTTACATCCAGCAAGGTGTCAAGAGTAACTAATTCTGACTCAGAGATTCCCTTCACATCGTCAGCTCCTTTACATCCCAACTGTCAATTCCCCATTTTAGGCCTCCATCATTACAAGAGCTTTGTAATTACTTCCTTACCTCTTGCCTTTCCCCGCAAACCTTTTGTACAAGAATTTCTGGTGTGCTCCACACAGTCTCTCTAAAGTGTCTCACTATCCCTGGTTAAATACAGTCTAACGTCTCACTATCTTCTTCAAGTGTGTTCAGACTCTTCTCCTTTCTAGACCAACTGTCTTTTCCTCTCCATCATATATGTAGATTATATTATTCCTCAAAAAATATTCACTCTCATCTCCCTTCATCCTGCCCTTGATTTTGGGCTAAGCCATGTGATCAGCTTTGGCTAATAGAACGTTTGCAGATGTGATTGAACCAGGGCTTTAGAGTATATTTGCACCACTGCCCTGGCTATCAAAAAAGAATCCCTGGAAGTTTCCACCTCTTCAGCCTGGGCCCCAGAACTGCACACATGGCGCAGACCTGAGCCCAGGCCATGAAAAGGATCAAGTGCAACCCCATCTATAGCTTGAGCAGAGTCTTCCAGCTAAATGCAGGCTGGGGCTGCAGACCCCCAGATGACCTGAAGATGCACGGGAAAGAGACAGTTATTAATGTATGGCACTGAGATCTTGTGGTTGTTCATTAAGCAGTAATCGCTGACAATACACTATTTTCCATTCTAATTGGACTAACAGACGTTCTACCACCATTTATCATCACCTCAGTGTTCGGCCAGCACTCTAGAGACTGTACGTAGCCTTTAGCCTAAGTCACATCAAACAAATCAACATCAAGATCTGAGTACACTCAAATGTGGGCATGTGAGGACACGTGCTTTGCAACAAGGAAAAACAATTAAGAATTAGCATCCTAACATATCCTGAGATTTTCATCCATATTGTGCTCTTTTCAAAAGGTTCAAAAAGTCAGATAAAATTCCTCTCTCCATAGTCATAACGTACGTGCTTCATGTGATCCTCCCAGATAAAAATAATGTCTTTCTCTCTCATCTGAATCCGGGTAATCTTTGCCTGCTATGCTCTTCCACTGCAGTGATCAGAGCTTGAACATCGTGTGTGTGTGTGTGTGTGTGTGTGTGTGTGTGTGTGTGTGTGTGTGTGCGCGTGTCTGATCCTCCAACTTAATTTAGAATTCCTTGAGAGCAGCGACTGGGTTACACTTCTCCTTTTATTTACCAGAATGCCTCACACAGCACTTTGATCCTAGTAGATGTAGAAAATTCGTCTATGAATTGAAAAGGTAAATGACTGAGAGGAAATAAGAATGAATGAATGAACAAATATAAACAGCTACAGACGCATAGACACAATACCTGAAGTGTTCCTCGGGGAGCAAGAAGACTGCAGAGAAGGAACATGGGATTTAAAGTCAAATAGATGTAATTTATTAGCTGCGTGAGTTTTGGCAAATTACTTTCCCTGCATAACCTTCAGTTTCTACATATGTCATTAGCAATAATATTACCAACTTTGATGATGGCTCTGAGATGTAAGGAAATATACAGAGTGCAGACCCAATCCAGTCACAACTCAATATATAATTGTCAGTATCACTATCATCATTTACAAGTTTTGAAAACTAAAGAGGTGGGTCCTTATCTTGTATAAAGATAAAACCTCAGAATCCTTTTTGGCTGCTCTACTCACACAATCTTATTTGGAAAATGTATAAAGAAGGTGGAATAAGCAGAATCTACAGATGTGACAGTTATTCTGGTAACTTTCCAGGCTTTCTGTGAACTAAAAATTGATACAAAAAATATCCCTATATGCTCAGATGCCAGGAAACACACGAAGAACCTGAGCAAATTCTCAGGGGCTGCTAATATTGGACAAATATGGAAAAAATAAAAAAACTGTGGTTTTCCTTTCAAATCCAGATTTTCCTAATGCTCAGAGTAGAGCTGCAAAGGGGAGTAGGAAGATCCCAAACAGATTTCAGTACTTATAGTGATATTTATAGAACATATTTCCCTGAGACTCCATCCATGGTTCAGAGACCATTAACTGCTTAATTCTTTGACTCACTTGTAGAAAACGTTGTTGATTTCGGAAGCAGTCCCTTTGCCAGATGGTGCAAGTGCACCATCATGTTAGTTCAGTTCAAAGCCACATTAATAACATGTCCCAGGGGCAATAAATTAGATAAAGTTTAGTTGTCTAGCCACTCCAAAGCCCAAAATAATATTTAGTTCTCTTGGTATATGAATGATCCCTCAGCTTTGGGAGGTAGAGATTTTCACGGGAAGACAGCAGAGTTTTCAAACATTGTTTTAAGCTTCTTCAGAGCAAAAACAATGCCTTATTTATCTTTGTTTCCTCAATAACCAGAATATTGCTTGGCAAAGACGAAACAGTACATTTGTGTTTTCCTTATAACAAGTCATTAATTCAACAAGTAAGGCAGTGACATAAGTCGTTTAGTGTGGATAAAACAAGTGGGTATTCACTCAGCTGGGCATGGTCTTGTGCCATCAAACAGAGCTGTTGTCCCACCAGGGACTGAGAGCTCAGTACCATGGACTCTCTCTCCAGGACCTCTGACTTGGAGATACCCCAGGATTAATAAAACATCTACGGGAGTTGTCTGCCAACCAATGACCACCTCTCATCCAACTGGCCATTATTCCACGATATACAAGAAATTGATGTAGCATTCCTTTTCCAAAAAGGAGTCCTTCTGAGGACATGTAGTTGGAATTCAAATATCTGACAGCCTGGTAATATAATTAGAACACTGAAAACAAGAAAAATTTGAAAAACCTGAGAATGCTTTTCAAGATATTCTTAACCTTTTGAAACATTGTAAAAATAAGTAATGTTACTCTAACAAGAAAAAATTAACAAGGATTGAAAAGTTATTGGAATGTTGTCCAAGCACTTAAAGAAGGGTTACACAGATAATCTTTAAAATGATTAATAATGAGTTTCAAATATAGTTTATAATGTCACATATTAACAAAATGCTTTCACGTGCTATGCCGATAACAATTACATTAATAATAAAAGTAAAATAAATACATAATATGCTTGAGCTTTGTACTATTCTCCAGATTGTGTTACAAGGTCTTTAGATGTAGTAAGTTGTTTACTATCCCCACAGTGAACTAAGGGAGCTGCTCTTACCATCCAGAAGTGAGTTGTATGTAAAGCCAGGTGAACTGTGCCTGGCACAAACTAAGTTCTATTTTTTTTTTTTTTTTGCGGTACGCGGGCCTCTCACTGTTGTGGCCTCTCCCGTCGCGGAGCACAGGCTCCGGACGCGCAGGCTCAGCGGCCATGGCTCACGGGCCCAGCCGCTCCGTGGCATGTGGGATCTTCCCGGACCGGGGCACGAACCCATGTCCCCTGCATCGGCAGGCGGACTCTCAACCACTGCGCCACCAGGGAAACCCTAAGCTCTTTAAACATTACTTGTCTCTGTTCATTTCTATTCCACTTCACAGAAG